TTTATGTTATTTTAGTTTTTTAGAGAATTTTTCAATTGCGTTATAGTTCTAATTCTGTGTTTTTGTTCATCTTGTTGTCATATCCGGCTCATTCACCCAACTTGTTTGTTTGTACTTGTTCTGTGGATGCTCACTTAGCTCAGAACCCTGCACTCGTTTCATTTATCCAGCTGTTATCGGGGGGATTAATCGGCCAAATCCCTAGAATTTTGGTTGAGCTGGTCCGTTTTTTTTTTTTTATCTATTTTTTTTTATATAAATCTCATTGGCATCTGTAAATCTCATCAGGAAGAGTGAAAACAGAGGTCAGGTAAGGACAGGAAAAAGTATCAGGACAAGCTGAATATGATTCATGAAGTGCTATGCATTGGAAAGCCCCAGGACAAACTAATTGTAAAGATTGTACTCATTGTAAGGCCATCTGTTTTGGCTGGAGTCACTCAGTGGTGTTCATGAAATATTCCCTCATTTGTAATAACAGCGTTTTGCCTAAGGCAGAGTAACAGTGTGTCTTACAAAGTATAACTTCCACGATCACGTCCCGTTCCAGAGTTCGTCCGATTATTTACTCACTTAATTATCGATCCACCCCGCCCAGATATGGCATCCGGTAAGAAAAAAAAAAACAAAAGTTCTAGAAGCCCCTTATATGAACAGTAACTTGGAAGCCTTTTCGATGAAATCACAATGGCGGAGCGAGCGGGAGCTCAGTGCCGGACAGCAGGCTTGGGAAGTCTTTTCTGCAGGATGACGGCCCAGCCCTTCTTTATTCCTCAGGAAATTCTTTATTGACAGCTCCCATTGAAAACCCCCAGACTGTTAAGGAAGGGAATTAAATTCCCCGCGATTTTCGGGATCGCATGATAAGGATTCCAGGCTGGGGGGGGGGGTCCGGAGGGGGCACACCAATGCTTTTGCCCAGATGAAAACCCCAAAGGAGAGATTTTACATTCAACTTTTTGTCCATAAATAGCCTTTTTTAAATATGATTTAATTCGGTTTCCATTTTCTTTACTATAGCATTTTCAAATCATATTTTGAGAGTGGCTCTAAAAAGTTATTTACTTTGAAATTGTAATTAACTACGTTAGTAGCAGCAACTGCTGTATAAATCCCCACAGAAATGGGGAGCCCTTATGAGCGCCTCTTACTGGTGTGACGGCCGGCAGTTATTTGCGCGAAAGTGAACAAACGCCACTGCGTGTGTTTGTTGAGCCGGCTGGCCTGTATCCGTCCTCCTGCATCCTTTAATTGAAAAAAAAAAAAAAACAGTTTGCTGGGATTAATTTTGTTCCTGGAACCTTTTATCTGCCGTGGAACCAGATGGCTGGAAGGTCCTCTTTGTGTCAAGACGGCCCGTGTGTGAAAAAGACGATGCCCCCCCCCCCCACCCCAAAGTAATCAGCGAGACCGGAAGGGGTCTGCGCTGGGGTCTTCAAGGAGACAATGGGGTCTGGATACATCTACATTGCAGAAATGTGGATGTGTCTGCCACACAGGCCTCTCCCTTTCTCCTTCGAGCCTTTTTGACCACGGTTGACACGGAGACTTCCTACTTTGATCAGTGAAGGGTGGAGGGGGCAGAGAGCCCTCAGAGGCCAGGGGGTAAGTCCACAGGCCACTCACCCTGCACTTGGCTCCTGCTGGCTCTGTCTTCCGGAAGGCATTCGGGGAAATGGGGGGGGGGGGGCCAAGAGGAGGGTGTACATAAGGTCTAAAACGTACCTTGACCTGTCTAGACGGCAGCACATTTCCTGTAGATCGTTTGCTTTTCGTTTTTATTTTTTATTTTCATATACATTTTGCCATTGCTGTTACCAAAGGGAAGACGTGCCCCTTGGTCTTTATTGTAGTTGGGCTACAGGCACAATTATTGTTGAGGGGATCCATGGTGGGGTGGGTTGCATGGTAGGGGGGGGGAGGTATTGTTGGGGGAGGAAAGGCGGGGGGACCCAAGTGCTCGATACCCCAACCCCAGCAGATCCTGCGCAAGACCAACTGTAATGAAATATACCAAAACTTTCCAGCATCGTTTTCAAACCAGCCCAGCTACTCTTCAGTAGCCGAAGTTTTTTTGTTTTGTTTTGTTTAGTTTTCTGTGGAGATTTTGTATCTTTTTATGTTTTGTTTGTTTTTTGTTTAAACTTTTCACAGTTGTTTAGGGGAAGAAGAGGAAAACAACACGGCTGTTTTTTTCCCCTCCCGTATCTGTGAAATTAGTTTCAGTTCAAGACTCGCACCTAAGCAAGCGCGTCCTCTAAATGAAAGTGTGGAAGTTTTCAATGAAGTTCTTCACACTGACTTCAAAAACAAAAGCAAGATGACCCTTTCCAAAGGTCCTGTCCACGGACCAGTGCTGGAAGTGTTGTCCAAGTTTTAACTTTTTGCACTTTGACTGTCCCAAGGCATCACAAACCTTGAAATTTGATGTAAGTAATTTTCATTTTATTTGTGTATGATAAGTATTCTGCAACAGAAATATCGCCAGATTAGGGATCACTTTTCAACTGTACATTGTAATGTTTGTGTACAAACTCCTGTATTTGTACATTTTGAAATTTTCACTTACTTGGCAAAACTTTTACTTATAAAAAGTGTAATGTATCATAGTCTTGTAGTTATGCACACTGAGCTTTAACTTCTAGTTAAAAAGAATCATTCACCAGTATGATTTCATTTTATTTTGTAACATCGGCATCCTGTGGATTAAAAACTACACTTAAGTTCCTTTTCTGCTATTTTATGTTTTTAATTTTTTGCCATAAAAATCATTCATTGTATTTTTTTAGGAAAGGTTTAATTACAACAATGTTTTACATGTATGAATAAAAAAATCGATTCACTGGTTAACAGAATGTCCACCATAAAAAAGAAAAATCTCAAATGTAATAATTTTATATATATCCAATAAATCAAAATATCAGTGCTGTAGTGACAGAGACTATGTATTTTAATTTTAAAACATTAATTTAGAACAGTAGAATACACTTATACAAATAATGACAATAATGTTTACGGAGGCCTCCGATTCAGCGTTTCTGTGGCTGCATTCAGAAAAATGTATGCTTGTTTGTTTGTTTTTTTTTTTTGTTTTGCCCATTTTCTAATATGTCCCCCGGTTGGGGGCATGTGCCACACAAGAGAGATGGGGGGGGGGATGGGGCAGCTACACAATGACATGTGAGGGGGGGGGACCAGGAAGGTGGGGTGGGGGTGAATGCCTGTAAGAGCAGCTGTAATTGGTCTTTGGAAGTACGTACCATGCACCTTTGCATACAGGGAGTGGGGGTGGTAAACGGCATGCTGTGTTCACCAGGGCTTCCACATGGCGCGTCCACATTGGTGACTGGGCTGCAGGAGGCGTAAAATGGCAGTCGGCACTTCATGCCACGCCATACTTCAGTCTCGCGTCCTTCCCACCCCTCGCCAAGAACACCCTCTCTCTCCCTCTCTCCCTCTCTCTCTCTCTCTCTCTCTCTCGCTCTTTTTCTCTCACACGCACCCTACTCTCGATCTCCTCTTGCAGTTTGAACACAGTGAGGAACTGGGGGACGGCATCACCTTCCCAATTGGACCCCCCCCCCATGCCCCCCCCCCCAACCCCCCCCCCCCCCTCAGCTCAATGGGCGGTGTAGTGTCATATCAGGTACCTCTCTGCAATTCCGCGCCGACCTCCATGTTGCCGAATGAATAACTTGCAGCAGAGAGGGCTGGGTCTTTTTTGGGGTGGGGGGTTGGTGGGGGAGCATTCACTCTCGTTGTTTTGACATTGGATTGTCCTTATAAGGTACTCAATTAAAGGGGCGCTCGGAGACGGAGATTCTCTTGACAGATAGCCCAGCCCTCTCCACGGAAATGCCGTGCATGTGATCGGCGCGTTAACCATGCGGCCGCCGGCATCCCACATGTGCCGGCTCCCGTTTCCACCTGTCCGCTGAGTGATGCACGTGATCGCCCAGATCTACCCGCTTGGGATTATGGGATATTTCAAGTTAGCCTTATTTCTCAACCAGAAACGGGTGCAATGCTGCAATTTAACAACTTTCAATGAAAATGCAACTGAAATATGCATACTCTGAGTTATTATTATTATTATACTTTCTGGACTAGGCTTCAGGTATTCATCAGCTTTGTACTGGATAAGTATTTATGAATGACGGATAATTATTTGAGTAGCGTGATATGTCACATGGATGTGTGCATGTGTTTATAGGGGGCGCCGGTAACATTGGTGCAGTTTCAGGAGAGCTGCCCAGCAACCTGCCTGTTATGGCGGCTTGTGTCTGCGCAGTTGCCCTGCCTCCATGTACCAAGATGCATTGAACGTAGTCAGAAATAAATTGGGGAGGGGGGTGTCGAACAACCATACCAATAGGTTCTCCTTAGTAGATTTCACCGATTGGGGGGGGGGGAGGAGGAATTTTGAGGGGGGGTTCAAATTTTTCTACCAGGTTACATGCCTGTTTGGTAGCAGATAAATTTCAAGAGGGGTTCAAATCCATCATTTTACTACCTGCCGATGTGTCTGCATTGAAGACGCATTGCGATCGCGCCCATTTTTTAATGTAGCACCAACATCGATGCTTTTCAAAGCAAACACTGGAATCTGAAATTAGGATGACTGATTATGTGACGCTCATGTAGTGTTATAAGCCTCCCAATGTCTCCACAACATTACTGCAACTCTGCAGCATCATCATGGAGACGTTACCGCGACGTCTCCACGTTACAGGCAGCCTTGCCCACACCCTTCCCGGGGGTGACCCATTTCGAGTTATGCAACCAGGCTTTACGTTTGGTCAGGAGTTTTAATGACGATTTCACAATTTAATACCGTGATTTTAATTTTTAACGTCCGCATTGCAAGCCTTGGTGTATCCCAGCCTACCCCCTGTGGGAACTGTAAGCACCCATCCGGCTGTTAATGCTGTGCACCTCCCTCTCTGCTTCCCTCACCCCCTCTCTCCCTCCCTCTGCCTATCCTTGTTCTCTCCACACAGGGCACCAAAGAAGCGGGACTCCAATGTCTCCTCGCCAACCCCCCACCCCCGCAGAAGCGGAACGTTTCGGCCAACGGGAGGCGCGGTGGTGAACCAGGTACTGTTGCTGCAGACGGAGAAGCTGCTCTCGCACCAGGAAAGTTGCTCGGCCTCCATGTTGCCTTGACTGGCAGTGGGGGGCGGGGGGGGGGGTGTATGTACGGGGGTCACCTCTGGCAATCCGAGGTTTTTTTTCCCAGCACAGAAATTCCCCCGTAAAACGTTTAATCAAAGAATGGCCAAATAACAGTGGCACCCACCAATTTCTTTTTTTTTGCCAGTCTTTGTTTTTGTGTATGTATATTTGGCTACAATAAGCTAGGAGGAAAAATGTTTTACTGATAATGAATTAATAAAGTTTGTTTTGTAAGACATTAATGGATTATTATGTTTTTTTTATTGATTAGAGGTCATGCGATCTCTTTTTGGGGGTTTATTTTGGGGTCCCTTGATCAAAACAGTTGCTAAATTGATGGGATGAGAATGGACATGGTGGTGAGTTGTTTACGTCACCTCGATTTATTTTTCATTACATGGCAGCACATTCAGAGTTTATTTATGAGATTCCTTGTCATTTGTTTTTTTTTTTTTGTTCCCTCCACGGCAATTCTGCAAAGCCCCCATCGTTGTGAATTAGTATTTATTGTATAAATAACGTTACGTCTGTGTCAGTGTTCAGTTCAGTCAGTACTCCGTGTTCAGCTATATCGGCGACAACCTTATAGGAGAAAATCAGCATGCTTACCATGTAGCTAGGACACTCTCTAAGATAAATCCGGCCAATCTCTGCTAAACTCGAATAGCACCAAAAGTTACACGCAAACAGGACTAAATATCCCCGGCCATCATTGCTCATGATCACTTGTGGAATCGGGCTGCTTGTTTTACCATCGCGGCAGAGTTTAGCGACGAAGAGACATTTCGAACAGAGCCCAGCACCGTCACGCGACGGCGAGCTCACTGGCTCGCGACATCTGTGCAGCCGTTGGCTTTCTCACGCGCCGTGTGTGTGCTGGGTGGGGCCCGTGGGACGCTCAGACGTGTGAGAGTGCCCGTGTGCGGTGCCTGAGTGTATGTCTTACGCCTAAATTTCAATGAATTCCTCATACCTAACCATCCCCACCTCCCCCCAGCCCTGAAATAAATCTGATGGTTTTTTTAAGCGTTGCATAATTTTCTCTTATGCAGCAAAAAAATAAATTAAAAAAAAAAACAGCGGTAACTTATTTTGACGAGGGTGGGAATGTTTTGACCCCCTTCCCCCCATAATCATTACATTACTTGAGGAAGTGTGTTCTCAGAAGGTCAGGCTGAAGCACAAAAGGTCAGCATTAAAGGGGTGCAAAATAATTACGAAGCAAAGGTCAATTCCTGCGTGTTTAGTTCACTGAGAGAGGCAAATGTGGCATGAGACGGCGTTAAATTTTATTTGATACGCAGCGATCGATTTTTCCAAATCAGATCAATCGCATCTAATGACTTTAAATCTACTCTGATGCTTGATAACACGGTTTACATTCGAGAGAGGGTGCTAACAAAATTGTATATATATGCCGAATATACATTTAGAAGGAAACTTCTTGAAATTGTGAGGTTTCGTATTATATTTATTTGCTACTTTAATTGCATTATCTAAAAATCTGTAAGAATGCATGCACCGGGTGGGTCTTATTCTGAGTTATGCTTAATTCGCAGCTCAAAAGAAAAAATGCGATGCTTATATACACATATGCAAAGAAATGCATGCAGTTGTCCTGGCACACTATGGTACCCTTGAGTGAGGTCCTTGAGTAGGTGTAAATGAGTGGACCTCTAGACACAAAGGCTTCGCACATAGGGAACGCGTGGACCTCATTCAGGGCAGCTTGCCGACGGATTAGCGATACGAGAAGCCTGTGATTCACAGTTGCTACTGCCGTGAGGCTAGACTCGCGGTGTCGTGGCTTCAGAACAATGATGCGAGTGATTTTCGTCTGCAAGTTTCGCCTTTTTTGTTCTGTTTTTGTTCTAGGGTTATCGTATGGGCTTGATGAACTTTAGATGGTTTGGAATTAGCTTAGAGCAAATCTGTTCAAATCGGAGCATTCATCCGAATAGCTAAATTCCTGGTCTAACGGTCGCTCTGAATTTTAAGGGGCCTGCACACCATAATTGATATTTGACTTTGGATGTGTTCTGGGTCAGTTATTTTTGAAGCTTATCCTTCTTTAATAGTCTAAAAGTTAACAAAAAAAAATTGGCCTATCAAGGACACGTTAGAAAAATGTTGAATGGCAAACAGTATAGATATAAGTAGAGGAAAATAGCAAGTTAAATATATAGGCTTTTTTGAATCGATTTTTGAATAACATGAATGAGATCTGAGTGCTATAGCTACTGAGCATGAACTTCATGTGGTAGTCTGTTACACACATTACCTTCACCTGGGGCTGTTTCACATTTTCACATATTTTCTCAGAGTTTGCTTAGATTATCAACTGAGTTTGAAAGCAAGTGAATACCTGGTTTGAACAGACCTTCTCATGAATCTCGATTTGTATCCCTTGCTTTCAGATCTTTTCAAATCTTAATACACCCGTTTCACGAGCAAAAATGTTAGCATTTCATTCTTCCTGGCGTGAATATTGTGTCGGTGTCGTCATGGCTGTGTGACGTCACCGTATCATTCAAGAGCAGTCGAGGTGTTATCGTTTGTTCTGTTTCACATAGAAACGTGGCTCTAAAACCATGTTTTGGAAAGTTCCTCGGGCTTGTTTACATAGAAGGTCTGGTTAGAAACAGTGCAGAAGGCAGATGATAACCAATGGTTATGTCCAGCAGGTAGAGGAGCATTTAGGGACCAGACTTTGGACCAAAACGCAGAACCCCCGCTGCCTCAGCCCCCAGCAAGGTACTTGACTTCAAAATTCCTGTAAAATATTCCATTGAAATTAAGGGGTGAGACCATGGAGCAGTTAGGCAGGGATATGTGCAGCCTGTATGTAGTGGGGTTAAAACCTGAATCATGGCCGCTTCATCCTTGTGGGGTTTCTCTGTGTGTCTAAGAAAGGTGAACCTTTTAAAGGTTGGTTTTGCAAGCTGAAGCCTGTTATCGTGGCAATGCTTTTGGCTGCCTCTCTAAAATTTGAGTGCCAAGTGCTCGGCAACCAAGCTGTTTTAGACTAGCAGATGCGAGAGTTAGACAGCTCAGTTGCAGCAGTGACCTTTAACCCCCGGACTATTTGCCGTTAGCCCTGAGTGAGTCATTTGAACACCAAATGCCCAAAGAGCATGTGAGGAGCATCAGGTTAAAGTTTGAGGACAGTCAGATTCGCCACCCTGTGATAACACTGCCTGCACATGTATACTGGATAGGTAAGGCTTGTAAGGATGGGTGTTATACATGTCCATTAGCTAGAACATTTTAGCATGTGATACAGGTCTAGTTTCATCCATCCGGTACCGGGTCTGGATTACATTTTGAACAGCAGAATTCAACCCTGAATGTTATGCCATCCCAGAGTGGACTCATTTCATTAGTACACAAATAATAAATAAAATGTTCACCCAGCTATCTCTTGATCTCCAGACTACTTTTCCTGGTCAGGGCTGTGGTAATATAGAAAGGATTAAAGCTTTTAACTTGCGATGCGATCTTTAGTGACGTATCATCTTGGTGACTGACGTTGTCATATATATTGGTCAAAGGGGGGGTTTGCAGTGCCTGAACGGAACTTTGCCGCATTTTTCGTGACATTCTTCACTGTCGAACACTAGTATATCCGCTAGTGACTCCTCAGAACGCCCAGCAGTGTCCTTGTTTCTGAGATCCGGAATTCAGATGCTGAGAGCGGTTGTCAGTCTAGAGGGCCTGAGGTCGAGGGCCGATGGAAGCGTCCATCAGGGCCAGATACGGTGTTCCCACTTTCCTGGCGACGGGACCGGTTTGAACACAGACCCGGCTGGAAGTCCCTCCCGTGCCTTTGTGCAAAGGTGTTACAGGAAAGTGAAGTTGGCGTCGTCTGGAGGTTTTAAGTAATCGCCGGGTCGGGAGAACGCTGAAGTTTGTGGGCTTCACTGTTTTGTCATTCGTTGTCAGGTAGAGGGAAGCGCCGGCTGACCGTGGTTTGACTTGGTGCCTATCTGTCTTTGTGGGCAGGCCTCCCCAGGCCTGACGGCATACATGAGAGATCAAGGGTTACCAAGGTGCTGCTGGGAAAGGGCTCACTGTGACAGGACAGACCGACCTGCTAAAACCTCATTTCCTATGCATATTTAGGTGCTTCAGTAGGGGGATTTTCACTCAGGATGCTGACCTGACTATGTGATTTTTTTTTATATATATATTATTTTACAAGAATTGAATTTTTGTATCCGTGGCAGACCGTTTTGTGAGACTACTTGACGGGACTGAGAGGTGCACAGGAGACTGGATCCCTCTACTTGTAACAAAGTTCAACCACTGAGCTACAGCATTAACTTGTATTCTAACAAGATTAAAATATATTTGTCCTGGGGATTAGCATACTTGAGTGCTCCTTGTCTTTATGGTGGTGGCAGTGGGCTTTGATCTGTGTTGCGTGGCAAGGCGGTGGCTTGGACCCGGCCATCCAAGTGCCAAGTGTGAAATTAGCCTGATGTCATCCCCATTCTTCACCTCTTACATCTTTCAGCAGTTTAATAATATTTCCGCCACAAAGCTCGGCCGCTTCATTGCATATTCACGTTTAGCTAGGAAGCATTTTGAAACCACAGATAAATAACTGGTGGAGGTGGGGGAGGGGTCGTGACTGCATTTTTGTGCGGGAGGCAGATGCGTATCGATAAATTTTCCTGATATAACACTGAGAGTCTCCGTCTTAAAACTGTTCTGAAAAATGACGCAGGTGAAACTATGAGGGGAGTCCCTTTTGCAGTTCTGTTTATTTCTTTAATGAGCAAACTTCCTTAATGTTGTTATTTTTGTTTAAATGTGATGCATGAGAGGAGTTAGATTACTCAGGTTTCTTAGAGCAAACCGTGAACTTAATTGTCAGCATCTTCTTTGTTTTCTGCTCAGGGGTCTGACTGGGGTCTTGTTGTTGCTGTGTTGTCCTTTTAAAGTATGATCCTCACTTTTCTTGGTGAGAAAGTCAGAAGAATTGCTAGAAAAAAAGCAGCAAAGTGGTCCTTTGACGATCTGGGAGATCTGTCAGGCTTGCTGGAAGACTTGTATACAATTAAATGCCTTCAAAAACAAAACAAAAAAATCATCCCAAATGTTTTGTCGATACGACGATGCAGAGCTGTAGAAGAGAACTGGAAAATCTGGCGACACAACACAGAAAAGTCAATTTTAAT